CGGGGGAGGGAAAGGGGGAGAAGGGGAAGGAAAAGGGAAAGGGCAGGGAAAGGGAAAGTCCCTATCCCCCCCCCTCCACACACACACACCCAGAGATTCCCCAGCTGTTCTGCCCCCAGTCAAGAGCACGCAGGTCGTGTAGTTTGTGGGGGGTAAATAAGTACTAAAATGCAAAAGGCTGAGGAGAAGCCTCGTTCTTATAGAAGCTGGACAAGGGTGGAAGGGCCACGCACCCTGTGCAGACACCTGAAGTGGTTAGTGAACAAGAGGGGCTTGGGCAGCGCTGCTGGCAGAGGGCTGAGGGAAGCTCCAGGGTGGAGCTGAGCGGCCCGGAGGTGCCCAGAGCTCCTGCTCTGTCTCCACGGGCAGGACACGCGTCCCAACCTCCTCCTGGCACCAGGGGACCAAGCCTGGACCCTCCAGCATGTCTGTGCTGTAGACAGTACACCCCTCCATGTTCCCTGGGCGTTCAGTGCTTCCCCTTGAGCTAAACCAAACATCCCTTTGAGCCTCCCAGGGTCGGGCATCATTCTTTGGTGTCTTTTATGAACCTTCTCCTATGCACATGTCCTTCTTGGAAAGGATCTTGTGATGCAGGGCCGATGCATCACGGTGGAGACCCTATCGCTTCTCCTACTTGTCCCATCCTACGTATCCCATCCCCTACTTGTCCCATTTCTTTCCCGAAAAAACACATTAGTGGGTTTTGTTTGTTTAATCACTGTGATCAAGACAGAGACCTTATTTATGATGTCTATAAATACTAACAAATGCTTAGTCTCCGTCAACCAGTTATGTATTCTCATAAAAAGTATTAATTTAGCTTGACAGATCTGTTTGCCATAAGCTGATTGCTATTAATTCCTCTATTTTAATTAGTGTGCTATTATTCAATTATAACCATAATGTTACCCACAATCCTTTAATTTCTGGATCCCGTATCAGATGGTCTGTTATTGTGCCTAAGACAGATGTGAAGCTGACAGATCTAGAGCCGCGTTGCTCTGCTTGCAGACATGCTAGCATCTTTCCAAACTTTGGGAACATTTCCACTCTTCCCTTACTGAAGAGCAATGATCCGCAATTAGCCTTAGCCTTGCTTGCAGGATTGCCCTGACTTGTTTGTCTTAAAAATGTCTCACTTTACGAGATGATGTATAGCATGTTTTCTAGCTGCTTGTGTAATTAAAAGTATTTCATTATCATGGAATGTGGATTAAGTAACTGGGCTCTCTTCCAATTACAGAATATAGTCATTTATTGAAATTTCTGCGTTATGATAAATAAATCTGTCATTTCCATCTAGTAACAAACCAATAGCATTAGGATATAATTTGTTTTTAGTATACTCTAAATTTTCCCTTTTACTCACTTTAACAGTCCTAGACAATCAACTTTGTATATCTTTTATTTTTACTTACCTATTTCAAGCTCTTAATTTATACTGCTTACTATCAACTTACCCTTTGTTCCTATCTCTATAACAGCTTTTACTTTCTCTCTAAAGCAGACTTGTGCTTTGTTGATTGGCATATTTGTCTTTTTTGTTGTTGTTTTAGTGCCGTGGTCATCTTTTTCATTTATGGTTTTGCGGCTATCTGGAAAAACGCTCTTTAAAACACTCGTAATTATCATTAACTTTTTTTTTCTTTTTTTCTTTTTTCATTTAAACAGGCTTTTCCAATAGATAAAGCTTAAAGCCAGCATCCTTAAAGCATCAAATTTGGGTATATCGATGCACACCCCTACTTCCAAACAGTTTGGATTCTTCAAATGTATGGGTACGATTGCCTTAACATCCCCTTCAATCCTGAAACTCAGTTTTACTCATTTGCCATCTCCAGAATAGACTAGGACAGATCTGGACCATGCATCAGCAGAAGTAACCTTATCCAGAAACAGCAAGAAAAAAAGAAAAGCAAAAACAACAACAACAAAATGCCCAGAAGGCCTATGAGAACAGGAATCCCTGGAGAAGGTATCAGAAAACATGTAACACTCCTTAGATGATTAACTTCCTGGTCGCAAGCCCTCATGGAAGATAAGTAAGTTGACAGTGCAGTGATGAATGCAGAATTAGAGAAGATTAAAGTCTGTCCAGGACCAAAACTGCACTTGGCACATTCTGGACCCCATTCCTAAGGCGTTCATACAGAGAGAGCACAGGGTGATATCTAGGTAAAAAATCCATTGTATAATAACCACCCTTTGCTCTTGTAAGACTTGGTCTGGTGCCCGCATATTTATCCTTTTGGATTCAAAGAAATCAATTGGATTTAAGCCATACGATTTTTATATTAAAAATGGCTATAAATCACAGAAAGGTCGGATGCTGTGGGACATGCTGAGTCAGAAACTTGCCCAGTGTAAATCATCTCTGAATAAGTCCACCCATGCCATTTGATAGAAAAAGAGAATGCAGCCCTCGTTATTGCTAAAGATGATTAATTGATTATCAGGCTGCTCAGAATATTCAAATGCTGGGTGCTCCAAAGAAGGGGTAATGTCCACCCCCTCTAGTTTTAAGCTCCTCATAAGAACAGCTCTTTTATCTTTCTCTTCCTCTTAGGAAATCTCCTTAATTACCTCTTCTCACTACACTGCAATTCTGGTATATACACCTTAGGCTTATTGGAGATGCAAGATACTGCCCCAAAAGGGTCTATCGGATGGACCAAGAATTATCAGCAAGTGGCCCATGGCTCAGAAGCAGACTTAAAACCCTAGATCGTTTCATCACTGAATCTTGTCATGTAAAGATGGTTTCACTGGGATCTATTCAAGAAGATAATTAGAACTCTATGTAAAATGCCTTTATCATGGACCTAAAGCCTGCAGAAGAAAAAGGCACTTTAATAAGGAGGTCCTTTACGGGAGGCGATTGTGCACCTGTGTATACAGATTTCATCTGTGGATCAGCACTGACCCCTTATCTTTGCAGCGAAACCTTTGATTCTGCAGGAAAGTGCACCTGGTTTGTAATAGCAAACCCATGATTGCAGCCCAGCATCAGAGAGCTGGATTTAAGTTATTTGCAAATATTGAATTCAAGTACACTAATAGGGAAGGAGAATTAGTTTCAGACATTCTGAAGAGGGGAGGGAAGAAAGAAGAAGGGTTCTAAAGGGAAAACATGGGCAGAATATTAGAGAACAATGTAGTTAGACTGATTATGAGCCAGTTGAGGAATTGTAGAATTCCCCAAGCCAGATTGGTGCTGAAAACATTGCACTGATAGAGTTAGCAGGAAACCTGGGTAGTTATTCTCTTTCTAAGGTCTATGGTCAAATTTATCTCCAGTGTAATCCAAATGATGTTGCACAAGAAAATGTTTCACCATATGTTTGCAAAATGTCTATCAACATTATTTGGGCACTTGATGGGAATAAAAATAAAAAGGCAATTAAGCACAGCACTGTCTTGTAGATTTAAAGAGGAGCTAAGCCTATGCTTAAGGAGTATCTTAAATCGGAATGCTTTTCTGAATAAGGGTTTTCACAAATGAAGAACCTTTGTTGTGGCAACAGGCATGGATTAGAAAGAGGTTTTAAAACTGGAATATATCTGTAAGACTTAAATAATATAGACAATCTCTAGAAGTTTCTTTCAACCGCAACAAGTTTGTGGTTCTCTAATAATTCCAACTTCACATGCGGCATTTCCCCCCTTGCTAGCCTGGCAGGTAATGCAAGTGCTTGGCTTGGGTCCAGCTAGCAAATTGATTATTAATTTAGAGAACCAGAGATGAAGTCAAAGTTAATCCTTTTTGTGGGATTCCCAAAAGCAATTTTCATTTCCAGCCACAAGCTGCCCCAGAGCGCCTTTCAAACACTTTGGCTTTGCACAGTAGCCAGGGACACAAATGTGCAATCATTATCCTGCAGTGAGTGTGTCGTAGTTACAGTTTCTGCTGGAAATCAGGATTAGATTAAAAAAAGTGGATGGTTTCCAGGGAAAAGTAACATGAAAAGGTATGTACCTCTCCGAAAAAGATGGATTAAAATAAAAAGTATAAGTATCTTTGATTGGTTGCTGAAACGGACACAAGCAGTCTCATACCACATAGGTAAGGTCTGAAACAAACATTAAGCCATTAAGCTAAGCATCGTTTAAAATCAACTGTTAACACTCTGGATACTCAGAAAGTTTTTGAACACTGCCAGAGTGTAAGTTTAGGTTTTCCTAAGAAAACCTAAAAAAACCCTTTTTTTTTTTGATAGGAACTTTTTTTTTTTTTTTTTTTTTTTTTAAATCAATGCCCCAGTTCAAGGCCAGGCTGAATTCTCATCTATGCTGGTGAAAATCCATCGAGGCATCACACACATCCAAGAAGTCACCCTAGGTTTTCTGGAGCAAAACATTTTCTAGACAAATCCTGCACTTCTGTGCCTCTGAGTTTAAAGGATTGCACCAGTTCGGTAGCATCAGTATTACCCTACCTAGTATAAAGCAGCAATCTGACTGAAAACAGAAGCTCTAACTGATACCTATTTATCCCGAACCAACTCATATCTATTTATCCAGAAAACTTATTTCAAAGAGATCGTGTCTCATCAACCTCTTTTAACTGGAAAGGAAACTGAGGCACCAAAAGGAGTCATGAAATGGATGCAGCCGCGTCCAAGCTTTTACATTATCACTCATTCTGTGTGGAAGTGCTCCAGCAGACAAAACCACAAACTGTATCTTTAAAGCCTATTTTATTTTCTTTCTATAGGAATCTAACTTAAACACCATGAAAAGTTTGACGTCCCATTTGAGAGCATAACAGCAAATTGCCTCCTGCCACAGTCCTGTCCACTGATGGGACAGAAGGTGTGATGGTCTCTATCTTAGGTGCCTGGTAACTGTTCCGACTGTGGCCCAAATTCAGATGATTTCAGTGAACTGAGAGGTTCTTCCTTTTCTTGGAAATGAGCCCTAGCAGATGGAGACTATGTGGCCACCGAGGAATAGACCACAGCATTAAATCTGTGCTCAGCTGCTGAGATCTCTCTGGCTCATGTCCTTATGAGCTTTCTTTGGCACTGATGCCCTTTTTCTCACCTCTACCCTGATAGAACAAACCTGGCACTGAACAAAACAATTCTCTACTGATAGGAAAGAATCGATAATCAGATTAGCAACTATTATTAAATTAGCTTTTTAAGAAAGAAAAAAAAAGCCTACCATTGATTCAGCTGGTTGGTGTAAGGAAAATTAAATCAGAGCAGGGATATTAACTTCTTTTTTTTTTTTTTTCCTCCCTCAAAGGCCCCTAATTCCATGTAGTTTGGGCTGATTTACTTCATAATTGACACAAGCCAAACAAAGGCAAGAGTGATTTAAGAATAAATTAAGGAGCTATGGGAGATGAGGGACATTTGGGATCCTCTCCAGATTCTTTTGTTCTTGGGTGGAGGGGAGAAGGAAGAGAAAGTTGTGAAAAGGTTAAAAGCAAGGACTTCTCCCAGCTGTGAATTTGTAATCACGGCTAACTGAATTGAGTATTTTTGCAAGGGACAAGGTTACTTACTCTCTGCAAATTAGCCCTAGGGAAAAAAAAAAAAAGAAAAAGAAATAGCCCATATGCACTCTTTGAAGCCTTAATTAACATAAACAATGTTAAAACACACAAAGAAATACATTTTACCATTGAAATAAAGCATATGGCTGGCTAAATACCCGTAAGATTATCTGAAGATAATCTTTTCAGACACCATAAATACAGCTGAGGCTGAGCCGTAATGACTCTCATCAGAAGGCCACACCATCCCACCGGAGAGGAAACTTAGCACTTCCAAACGTCAGCAGCCTCTTAGGCTTTAGACTGCAGTTTAAAACCCAGAGCATGTGGCTGGTTATTAATGAGCCCTTTTTCTCTTTTCACCCCTGCTGCACAGCTCCTAAAGACGACCAGGAACATGGACATGACCTCTCACAGGTGGAAATTGCACCAAGGTTTGGCTTGTTAAGCCCCTAAATAGTCCTTGACACATGCTTCTTTAAAGCAGAAGACCTCAAACCATTGTGATGGGACATGGAAAAAGAGAAACAGAAAGCAGTACTGGTGTTCTTGGTCTTTAAAAGACAAGCAAAGATGAAGACACCCCTGCAAGGTGTCACAAAGTTCTGTACTGCAGAGGAAAACAATCCGACAGCTCCTGCTAATCAGGCTTGGGAAGATATTCTTTCTTGACCCCATTTCTGGTGATTGCTTAATAAATAGCAGACCTAATCTCTTCTACCATATCACCACCTTACTTGCACAAAACATCAGGAAATTGGCTTAAAGTATCATAAGGTTTTTTTTTATTTTTCATAGTATATTTGAAGTCTTTTTGTCTTGTGGATTTTCCTCTTTAAAAGGATGACATTTTCAGAGTGCTCCACAGAAGTGTATGATTAGAAAAAGAAAAGCCTACATCTCCCTATAATCCTGTGGCTTCATGGTTTTAAGTAAAAAGAAAAATCTCATATTTGGCTATAGTGCGCACCCTGGTATCATCAGGTCTGCTCACCTGCCAGTATTGCTGATGACCTTGGACTACTTTCCATAATAGATCAATGTTTCATCCCACCAAGGTTTTAGCCTCTGCCCTTAAATTGGCTATTGCTATCCAAAGCTAAAAGCACCATTACAGCATTTCTGAGATCACTCGGATGCCAAAAAAAAAAAAAGAAAAAAAAGCCCTGGCCATACTTTCTAATCTTATTTTGAGGGCAACTTTGCCCCATTAGAGCTTTCCTATTACATCAGAGTATCAGAGCAATGACTTACTAGGAATCAGGATCATCTTAAAAGAAAGGTAAAAACAGGAGAAAGTTTCTGCTTTGCAAGTGGCCACAAAAATGCCCAGCTTGCCCTCTCATCTGTCACACAAGAGCTTTCTAGTTAAAATTTCTGCATTACGGTGAGAAGTCTGACTCTAATGTTAAAGACTTGTGGCTGGTTGTGCAGTGAGTCCCTCATGATGGGAAGAATCAGGCTGAATCACAGTCTGGACTCTACCCTTTTATTTAAAAAAATTATATGGCTCTGCAGCAGGCATTAACCAGTATATGATCAAGGCAATCTTCTTTCTCTGCCATCCACGACAGTCATCCCAAGATAATTTCCCAGTTCTTGGAGAGTTTCTTGCTGCACAGGAGCTGATACTCGGTGCACCACAGTGATAAATAGCAGCCTTGCTGTAAGTATTGAAAACATTTTAGGGAAAATCCTAGGGGGAACGGAGTGACTGAGTGCATTACCATAATACATCATTTACTGTGCTTGGATATCATGGCTCCTGCTCAGATCTCATTGGAAAGGAGGCTTGGGAAGAATGTGGAAAGGAGGCAGTAATTGCCTTTACTGAGAGTACCAGATGACAAAATTAATGCCAGACATGGCAGACAGCAAGCAACAAGCTGGAAATGCTTCCTTTGGCTGGCCAAGGATGTACAAATACACTCAGCTAAAGGCAGTGAGCAATACTAACAACTGGTGAGAGATATCTCACATCCTCCTCAGTGTACGGTCTGTCTGCCTTGGGAATGTCAGCATTTACATCCTGTTCCCAATCTCAGGATTTCCCTTGGTGTCTGCAAGGGAACCTGAAAGGACTGAGCACTTCCCCAAGCCCTTGCGCCAGGGTTTGGGAAGCAGAAGGATGTTTAGTTGGCATGGAGTGACAGACACAAGCATCGTCATGTGCCTGTTTGCATCTAGCTTGGGAAATCACAGGGCTTTGACTCTTTTAACAGCTGCTTGTCCAGCTGGGGATTTTGAATATTGCTTTGGCTGAACGGAAGGAGGAGGATGGAAGTGTGTTATTAACTGTGAACAAAGAGTCTACACGTCCCGGCTTGGCTACAGATGCCCTGTCCCTTGCGGGCTGTTTGCTGCCTGCCCCTCTCCACAATGACCCTCACAATCTTTCCTCTCTCCCCAGGTTTTCATGGCACAGATAGCAATGGAAACACCACTGCCTCTTGTCTACAGATACTCAGTGCTTTGCAGTCTGACCATCAGTGCTGCAAGATCCCTGTCCCAGCTTGAAGAGTACAAGAAGCCCTACAGCCAGGTCAGTTGGCTTTTTCACCACAAAAACACTAGCTTCAGGGTACACTGCTTCCCAGAAACCTAAATCAGAAAATTTTAATGGCTGAGTGCAGGGCTAGAGGATAGAGAGACAAAGAAAAATAAATCAGACAGATGACAGAGGGGCTGGGAAGAGGAGGAGGTAGCAGACGGGTAAAGAAATTAAATCAAGAAGCCAAATTAAGGTGCTGCAGGCAAAGATGAAGATGCTAGATTAAAGATTAACTGTAACCAAGAAGAAGATGCAGCCCTTTAGGGGTAGAAATTACTTCAATGCATTTAGCAAAACCCACACAAATCTCCCAAGGGTGAAGTTGTCACAGATGCAACTGGACCATGGTTGCAGATACAACTGGAGCCAGGATCTTCTGGGTCACATCATGCTCCAGTGTTTCCAGTTGAGGAGGAGAACTAAAAAAAACAGAGCAAAGGCAATCACCCTAAATAAGGGAAAGTCTGTGTTGGCAAGAGCCTCAAGGTGGGGGGGTCTCTCTGAGAATCATAGAATCATCATAGAATGCTTAAAGTTGGAAGGGACCTCTAGAGGTCATCTAGTCCAACCCCCCTGCACATGCAGGGTCACCTAGAGCACGTGGCACAGGACTGTGTCCAAGCGGGTTTTGAAGATCTCCAGAGAAGGAAACTCCACAACCTCTCTGGGCAGCCTGTTCCAGTGCTCTGTCACCCTCACTGTTAAGAAATTTTTCCTTAAGTTCTTGTGGAACTTTTGATGCTTCAGTTTCTGTCCATTTCCTCTAGTTCTGTTGGTGGCCACCAGTGAAAAGAGGCCAGCACCATCCTCCTCACTGCCTCTCTTGAGGTGCTTATAGACACTGATCAGATCCCCTCTCAGCCTTCTCTTCTCCAGGCTGAACAGGCCCAGCTCCCTCAGCCTCTCTTCATAGGGCAGATGTTCCCGGCCCCTGGTCATCCTCGTGCTCAATACTATTCATTACTCACAAAATGTTATGCCTGAGACCCAAGCTATCCAGAATTTATGAGGTACTCTTTCCTGACTGTAGAGCAAGCTTGTTTTTACCTGACCTTTAGAGAACTGACTATCTTTTGGTGATTCGTGGGGGCTAAGGGTCTAAGGAGCAGAGCTGTCAAGTTGTTTGGCTTAAGATTTAAGTAGGATCTTGAGAAGTAGGAACGTATTAAATACAGCATTGTTTTTTTTTGGAATTTCTATATGTTGATGTATGGGAGGAACTAACTCCCTCTCTCTGGCTTTTTAACCCTCCTGCAAAGAGCAGTCAGTATTGTCTAAGTGGTAGAATGTCACTGAATGCGTGACTGAGGACTGACCCCTGGGGGACACCGCTAGCTACAGGCCTCTGACTAGTCTCTGCACCGCTGATCACCACCCTCTGAGCTCTGCCATCCAGCCAATTCCTAATCCACCTCACTGTCCACTCATCTATCCCACACTTCCAGAGTTTGCCCAGGAGGATGTTGTGAGGGACTGTGTCAAAACCCTTGGTGAAGTCGAGATAGACGACATCCACTGCTCTCCCCTCGTCTATCCAGCTGGTCATTCCATCATAGAAGACTATCACTTTAGTCAAACATGATTCCCCCTTGGTGAATCCATGCTGAAGGGCTTCACAGAATCACAGGATGGTTGAGGTTGGAAGGGACCTCTAGAGATCATCTAGTCCAACCCCCCTACTCCAGCAGGGACACCTAGAGCACGTGGAAGAGGGTGGCATCCAGGCGGGTTTGGTAGATCTCCAAAGAAGGAGTATCCACAACCTCTCTGGGCTTGGCGCTGTATAAACTAATGTTGATGGTATCTGGAAATAATTCTGGATCTACAAGTGCTGCATTTCCTATACTTTCCCAAACAAATCTAATGGCCAGGAGCTGTAGATGGCTCCTCAAATGCACTCCTGCTCATCAGTCTCAGGTCTCCTCTCTGTACATCACAGCTACTGTATAAGCTCAGGCTGGAGAAAGAAAAAAGAAAGTATAAGGTAGGATGTACTTGAGGTGGAAGTGCACATTTTACACGTGCGTCTTTGTCGCTGAAGGCAAGAGAGCTCACCAAGGTGAAACATCCCCATCAAACCGTGAGCAGGTAGAGCAGACCTCCCTTCAGCTCGGCCCTGGGGCTTTTCCCAGCACAGCACATGGAGCATTTGCACCGTTTCACATCTCTGCTCTGGGATTGCCAGGAGAAAGGTCATTTATGCTTTGCCACCTCCTTCTCACATAAGTAACTCACATTTTGCAGCAGGGCATCTCAGAACTCGTTTCTGTAGGAACAAGAATGGGGCTGGAAGAAGTGGGAAATGTGATGGGGTTAACATCTTAAAAGCCCTGAAGCACTTTTTTTGTGCTCTTTCAAACGTACTAATAAGGCAGTACAGGGTCATTAATGACTGCACAGAGCACAATAATAGCAGGTTACTCCCAGCTGTGCTAGCCTGTCTTACAATCCAACCCTGCTCCTTGGTTAGGCAGAGGATCGACTTTATTCCTACTCATCCCTTGATCAAAAACTCCAGGAGACCCAAAACCTTTGTGTGGACCCTCTTCAAGCCTACGGTTGTACTTCAGTGAGCTCCAAATCAGGTCCGGAGAGTGATTAGGAGTTCAAAGAGCCGTGTGATAGCAAGAGGCATGCACGCACTCCTGCACGTGCGGAAGCTGCTCTGCAGAGCGTGAAGTTAAACCAGCACGAGTTCAGCTCGCTGCTCTTTTTCTTTCTCATCTCTCACCAGTGCATTTTTTTGCTGCAAGGGCTCTTTTCTCTCTCTTTGGCCTCCTTTTTTCCGGCACTCTGCAAAATGAGGCTGAACAACCGAGAGAACCTGCACTGAACGGGCCTTTGGATGCAGACATGGAGCGTGTCCCTTGCTCCCAACTCGAATTTTGGAAAGCAGCATGTGCCATTTTCCTGAAGGTCATTTGGATCTCGGTTCAGGGAAGCTGCATCGCTGCTCTCTGTTCTTTCCCATCATTATTCTGTGTACACAGCTGCTATAGATGTCCTGCCACATCATGTTAATTTGTTATTGAGGGGATGGGGGGGGGCAAGGAAATGTAAAGCAAAACACTAAAGCCCACCCTGGCAGCACTGGTGGGATTGCTGACTTGACTTAGGCAGGTGTATGAAAGAATCTAACGGAGGATTTGCTTTGGATTTACACTCACAGAAGAGGGAGGAAACCTCTGGGAAATAAAGGTAATTTAATGCAGTGAGGGGGCTGGCACATTAGTGGCTAAATAAATGCTAATAAATAAATGCCAATCTTTAGGATTGCACTACCCCCATTTCATGGAACACCCTGTTCCCGACTCTCCTGGGTGCTGATCAGATGATTTCACACCAGGGGGTCGATGTAAACAGCCCCGCAGTGGGCAAGACCCAGATCAATCAGTGAAAGGGGGCGAGATGCTGCAGCGGGAACGTGGCAGTGAGTACAGAGCTGCCTGGATTCATGAAATCTCTCCCACTCCTAGGAACAGGACGTTGTCACAGTTTTGCATGCATGACAGTGGCATGAAGTTGCAGGGATGTGGAAAGATGCAGACGATGAAGCTCGGGATCATATCTGAGCTATGGAGCAGAGGAGCAAGCCCAGTGGGTCTGTTTTACATTATCTTCGTGACTCTCCTCATATCTGCTCCGATGCCTTTTCACCAGCAGATCCCATTGGGAGCAAAGGCCTGCCCACGTGGCAAACGGAGCACCTAAAACCCTTGCAAAGACTAGGAAAAGGAGCGGGTGCTGAGCAGAGCAGCCTGGATCTGCTTGTGCTTTTCTCAGGAAAGCAGGTCACGGGGGAGGAGGGGCAGTCACTTCCCAGCTTTGCAGCTGAAAATGTATTTAACCAAAGCTACGCTGGCCACTGAGCACTCTGCCAGCTCCTGGAACTCACGCAAAGAGGGATTGCTATCAAAGCCTTTTAAAATCACTTTCTGCTAATGAAAATGGCTTTCGGAGATGCAGGCTGCTAGAAACCTCTCTCCTCCCAGCAACGTTCCTCCATTAAGCTCTTCCCTCTCACTCCCCCATCCTGCCTGGTCACCGCACATCTGGGTGGCACAAAGGGCATAGCGCTGTCCAAGAAACCCAGAGAGTGGATTTTATTTCTGACCAACAGCAACACCCCTATCCCCAACTGGCCAGCACATCCAAATTGGACAGATGTCGCAGCGTCTGTGCAAACTTCCACTGAACTGTCAGCTGTATTTCATGCGTTGATGCTAAGCTGTGTTACGCCGGCGGGCTTTGGAGTTTCTCAAAGAGAATCCACCCGACAGGGAGTTTCCTACTTTCCACTTAGTACAAGGACGTGGAAATACTCCGCAGCTAATTAAATACGTGCCAATTACAAGGCAGCACAAAAGATGTCTGTGCTGGCTAAAGCAGTTTATACCAAGGAAATGCCTCTGCTGTCCTGTTGTCAGGCAGCAGCCTTGAGAAAGGCCTTTTTTTGCAGAAATTGCCACTTGCAGCAGAAGACACAGTCCCAGGTGTGAAGTGTCCTTTTTTTCCCTGTCAATCTCTCCACCCCCAGCTGCCCAGCTATACATTCCTAAGGTGCACCTATGCCCGTGCCAAACCCATCTGTCACCGCCTTCCCGATGCCTTTCCCCTTGGCAGATGGAGCGCTCAAGTCCTGCTTCTGCTCCTGCAGACCTGTGCAGATACCCTGGGCTCAGTTTCCACTCTGCAAAGTCCTTGCAGGGTGCAAACCAGCTCCTGCTGGGCAGAGACACTGATTTGTGAGGCTCAGCCTGCCACAGAGACAACATGGAGCAGGATTTGCCTCTACTTCCCAGGCTGGGAGGCTTAGAAGTAGTTTATAATTTTTTCTTACTGTGATTCCCATTGCAAACTCAGGTACTTAACCAGATGATACCCACTTTTTTAAGGCTTTTGGGAGGCAAGGAACATGGGATGAAACTAGCTCATATCAGGACATAATGCAGGATCCGAGCAGGAAGTTTTTATGCTCAACTCAGCAGAACTGCACACTGCAAGAGTGATGTCTCCTGCAGCAAAGTCTGCATCTGAAACCAGAAATCTCAATAGCAGCCAGGGCTTGCAAAGGGAAGAATAAGGGGCATTTCTATTGTTGCAGCTCTCTCCACCCCACCTAGGAAAATAGGGAGAGAGGAGACTCCAGAG